CTATTGCCATCCAACTTTAATATTACATGAATTATACTTACCTCGAAAATCACTGTCCTAACAAATCTAATATTTGCTTTTACCTATAAGAATAGCTAGAAAGTATTAATATCTATATTTCCACAAGCAATAAGAATATTGAATAAAGGTTCTACTTTATATGAGCCTATTTACCCTGCCTATATCCCATATTGTGAACATGGAATGAAAACATTTTTTAATGTCAGTTAATTGTTTACTGGATGTACTACCAGTTTAATATGACACTAAATTACTTGTTTCAATTTGTTTTAAATTTTGGCAACTCCATTTTTCTTTTGGATTTAAAATAACTTTGAAAATATAAAATATATACATGATCCTACAGTCAAAACTATATGGTCAAGGATGGTTCAGAGTATTCTCCTTTCATGCCTGTCTCCTCTACCTGTGTCCTCCCTTCCCAAGTATATGCATACTACATTTGTAACTTACCTACCTTACAAAAATAGCATAATCTTCTGTTATGCACCTTGGTTAGTTTTTTGTTTTTTTTAAAAGCTAACATACTCTGCAGATGGTCCCACATCAGTGCAGAGATATGGCCCTCATTCTTTTCCACAGTCACTGTGGAAAAGAATTGTATGTTTCTATGCTAGTTTGTTCAAGCAGTCACCTCATTGTAGTTACTTGGTTTGTTTCCATTCTTGCTATTATGAATAACATTGTGATGAATAACCTTGTGCAAAATTCATTTTGTACTTTGGGAAGGAATGAAATGTTTGGATCAAAGGGTAAATGCATATGTAATTTTGCTAGGGATAATCAAACAGTGCTCTGTACCATTTTACATTTTTTAAAAAGAGATTCATTTATTTATGCATACAGAACTGGGGGACAGGCCAGAAGTGTAGGGGTGGTGAGAGGATTCATCAGAGACAGAGTGGGGAGCAGAACAGGCAGATCGACAAAGTACACTGCTGAGGGGAGCAGCGGGGCAAGACAGGTTAGGTCTGCTGCGCCATGTGGGTCATCTTCTTGGCTGGGGATCTAACTAGTGCTGAAGTGGCTGCAGCCAGCTTCTTAGTGCTAAGTTTTAATGCATTCTGCCATCAGGGAGGGCCCCCATTTTACTTCCTGTCTGCCAAAATGTGCTGTTTCTGTTTTCTCCACCTGCCAAATCAGTGGGTGGTCAAAGTTTTGGATTTTTGCTAATCTGATTAATTGCCTCCTTTTCTCATTCTGCCCCAAGATATAGCACAATGCTTTCATCTGCTTTTGGAAAAGCTCTCTTAGAATAAACAATAGGTGACTGTGTTCAGTGTGATACAAGGAGGGTGACTGCAGTGTCCCTATCTGTTTCCACTCACCTAATCACAGGAAGGTTAAAGCCCAAAGCATTCAACCTCCTTGTAAAGACTATTTCCAAAGACCAGTTCAGGTTTCCAGCCAAAGAAAAAGACATCAAATATGATTTCACTTCTTTTGAAGTTTAGCAAAATGCACAAGTCAGTGAAGCCCACTGGTACATTTATCATCTTCAGTGTATTTAAAAAGTCGGAGGAGCCATGACCATCTTGTCAGCTTGGTGTCTCCAGAACAACCCCAATGTGAAGCAGAAGCCTGTGTATGATTGGAGGTTTCCACAGATTGTGGAGTGGCACTCTCCAGCCTGCAGGACTGTTCATACCAAGCATCTTTTCTTTGCTGCTTTGTAGGAGTATATGTTTTGGATGGACATTGATTTTTTTTTCTTTCGGCATGGGAAATTTCTCATGGAAGATTCTGCTCCCAGGGGACATTGCCAATGCCCTGAGACATAGCTGGTTGTCACAAATTGGAAATGTATTGCTGGCATATAGAAAGCAGAGGTCAAGGATATAGCTAAATATGCTACCATGCATAAGACTGTCCTCCTGTTACAGGGTACCCCAATGTGAATTGGGTTGCCTGTCTGTGGGTCTTCACCGGCGCGCTTTCGATGCAATCGTATTATGGACACACTCAAAAAGGTTAAATAATGGATTTATTTATAAGGAGAAAGGTAAAGGAATAACCCAGGGAAAGAGGGAAAGAAACACAGGTTAACTAGGATGTCCTACCAGTTCTGCTGACTTGGACTCCACCTGCATGCTGAAAACCGATCGAGAGCCTAAACAATCAGCCTTGAACCACCAGGTCAGGCCCTCCCCAGAGCCCACATGTCCGATTTTATCCCAACCTGGCCGCTCAGCTCCGCCCTCACGTCCTGGAGTGCTTCTCCTTGGTACTGATGGGATTTGGAGTTCCAGTATCTGGAGTGGGGGTGGAGTCCATGAAACCTGTACCTGTTACACTCCCTCTCCCATAACAGATAATAATCTGGTCCAAAATGCCTTAAAGCCAAGGTTGAGACATCTTACTGTATTCTTGCTTTATACACTTTCACAAACACCCTTAAAATGACTATTATCAGTGGCAGAGGAAGGTTAGAAACACAGATTATCCTACTTTGCTCCTGCAAGGGTCACTAGCAATTCTGAAATCTCTGTAGTCTAAAAAACCCTAAGGAGTTATATATTTATCTGAAAGATTAAAGAACAAATACCTTTTAACCTTCTTAAAACTGATTATCATTAGGAATAACCTTTTAACTATAAATATAAAAGAAAGTACTGATTATTTAAAGTAAATGGGAACCAAGGTCCCATGAATAATCAAAAACTTGGTTAATAGAGTATGACCAGAAAGAATAATGCACTTGGCTTCTATGGAGAAATTAAAGTACATGCTGTGAATTGGTATTAAGGAAACGGCATGAAAAGTTAGTCATAAGGTACCATGATGTTGAAGAAACAGACTGACATGCATAATATCTCTCCCTGTGTTTTCATGACTTCTTTCACCTTGGGTGACCCAGAAGCCCAGGCCTTAGAACTGTTTTGGAATTTTTTATTTTGTATATTTTTTGCATCATTTTTCATTTCTGTACAATGCATGCTTTTTTGTTATTCCCATAAAATTCCCATCACCCATTCACCATAACCATATGGTTATGCACCATCATCATAACCATAGTCCCTTGTGCTCTTCCAGACATACATTGCATTTAATACTTATGAGCATAGTCATTCACTTTATATTTTAGATACCTTATGCCTAAGCTGAATTTTTGAAAATAAAGTGAATTTGTTAAGTCACAAGGGAAATTTGCTGTCAAAGTGAATCTGAGTACTAAATGTTTTGTAGAAAGAGCATCTTTTTTGTAAAGCAAATAATTACTCTCTAATTTGTCTTTTTAAATCTGATCTTTTAATTTGTAGTCAGAGTCTAGTGCAGTATTATCAGTGATGCTAGTTTAAAAAATATCAACCATTATTTAAAAGGTCATTGAAAGTTCAGTTTTATAAGCTATTTTAAAGAACGTGAAACTAGAACACAACCCTTATTATTAACAATGTTTTTTACTAATATTTGTTTTGGGTAACAGAAGGGGGCAGTGTGCTAGACATACCTGATAATAGGAAACATTATCAAAAACACTAACTACACTGACAGCTTCCCCTGGCAATGAAAAAAGAGCGGATGGTGTCTTATTACTGGGACTGTGTAATGTGTGTGTAATGTGTTTTAAGAGCATAACTCAAGAAACAAGTTTGCTTGGGTTCACATCTCTGCCTATTGTAACTTCAGGGCAACTTACACTATTTGACTGTGCTTTGGATCCCTATATGATACAAGGGAGCTGAGGGCAATGTGGCTGTGACATCTCTGACCCCATTGATCACCGGGGTTGGTTCGGCTGATCTGACTGGCTTAGGTAGGGTCTCCTTCCTCCCTCACAGCTGCTCCATGTGTCCATGGGATGACCTTCCCTGAATGGGGACGGGCAGTTCTTCCGTCAAGTGTATATGAGTAGCTGCTTTCCTTTGTTAGAACCTCCAAACAAGCTGTGCTGATCCTATGTGACACATGGAAAATGTCTATGTAGGGCCCTCCCTGCTGGTGCAATGGGCTAAAGTACAGCAATATGAGGCAATCTGCAGCCACTGCAGCAGTTTGATCCCTGGCACTGTCACAGGAATGGGCACAATATGGTGAGGCAAACCTCTCTTGACCTGCCTGCTCCTTCCCTCAGCGGTGTGCTTCAGTCTATCTGCCTGTTCTGCTTCTCACTCTGGTGAACCCTCTCTCACCCCCCCACACCTCTGGCCTACACCCTAGTTCTTGTATGCATAAATAAATCTTTTTTAAAAAGTCTATGTTGTGGGGTTGTTTTGAGGAATTAGTGAGTTAATAATACATAAGCTTTAAGTGGAAAGCACTTAAGTCCGGTCGTTTGGATCCTGGAAGGTGAGTGGAGACGCCAGTTGGGCCAGGCAACGGTTCATTCCATGCTCTCTACACCTTTGTGGGGGTACGATGGTTCTGTCTGACTGTTCACAAGAGGAAATGGAGGTTCACCTAGAAGATACTAACTAGGACAGGATAATAATCTTGCACATTCCTTGGAATAAAGGAAACTTCCGCTGGACCACATCTGGTCTGGTTGGGAGCTCAGGGTGTGAGGGTTCAGCAACGAGCCCGCCCGGACTTCGTCCCCACCTCCCCCAACCAGACTGTACTAACGGGCACCCCGCGCCGGGGCGTGGGCGTTGGATGGCTACAAGGGCAGAAGCCTCGGAAGCCTCGGCAGGCCTCCTTTCCTTCCTGGGGGCCGCTAAGAGACTTGGTAGACACCGGCCCTAGTTCAAGTTACAATATTCCCACAGTTGGCGCCGGTAATGCTCAGAATGGGTAGGACTCCAGGGACACCCCAGGCAACACTCGGTAACGCCCACTCCCTCAGCCCCTGCACCCAGGACGATCGCAGGACAGCGGTCGAGGCTAGGGGAGTGGGAAGCATTCCCGGCCGCTAGCCTTCCGGAGTTCACCGCCTAGCCCCGCCCCTTCTGGGCGTTCCCGGCTGTGCCGTAAAGTACGTTTTTTAGGTGCTGGACAGCCCACCTCCGTCTTTACGGCAGGCCGCATTCCATGCTTCCAATATGGCGTCCCCCATTTAGACAGATCCATGGTTTCTACCCCCGCAACCCGGCAGTGCTGAGTAGGTTGCCCTAACTTTAGCAGAAAGCTGCAGTTAAAGTTTGTTTCTGATCACGGCGCCAGGAAACCGCCCTCTTCGAAGGGTCAGGAGTTATCGCTTCTTCTAGTACCCGCAAGTTCCGTCTCAGTCCCTGGGCTGTTCCCCGTGCCACTTCCAGACGCCCCGAGGTCCCAGAAACTCCCAGATCCAAACTATGAGCCTTCTGCAGTTGTTGTTGCGCTTGCCGCGTTACCTCGGAAACTCGGGTCCGCGTCACCTTTGGTGGTCCAGGTCCCTCGACTCAATCTCTTCGGTGGGCTCCTGGCGTGGTCAATCCTCCAGGTCCCCTACCCACTGGAACCAAGTGGTGTCAGAGGCGGAGAAGATCGTGGGTTATCCCACATCCTTCATGAGCCTCCGCTGCCTGCTGAGCGACGAGCTCAGCAACATCGCCATGCAGGTGCGGAAGCTGGTGGGGACTCAGCATCCTCTGCTTACCACAGCCAGGTGAGCTATTCCCTTTCCCCTGACACTCTTGCATCCATTCCAATCTTTTTTTTTTTTTTTCTCCTGACCGACACACCTTTCCTGTGTTGTTCAGACTGGCTCCTGGCTTACCTCTTTTCACCTTTTCCTTTCCTTAGTCCAGTAGACAAACCCGATGACAATTGTCTCTTCTCCGTTCTCACCTTACCGTTCTTCTTCTAGTTGGTCCACTGAACAGATAAGTGGTTTTCTTATGAGAAAGCTAGGCACTTTTGCATAACTATTGATGTCTCCGATTTGTGGAGAAATGTGGTAGGGATCTGGGTTTATTGAATCACTTTCTAAAAATGGCCTTTTAAAAGAGGAATAGATTCATTTCAGTTTATACTATTCAAAAGGGAAAAAATGGGAAGGAGAAGATAGGCTGAAGGTACTTCATTACTTTCCAATGAGTGTCCTAGGGGTAATCATTATCCTCTTGGAATTTTTATCACATATGCTGGACTACTACTGTGAATCCTGCCACTGCAGTTTTAAGGACTACAGCTTTTGCTTCTACTTAAAAAAAAAAAAACAAAAACAAACAAAAAACCCCTCCACCTTTTAATTTTTTCCCCCACCTGTTTATTTGTAATAAATTTTAAGCATACTGAAAATCTGGGAGAACAAAAGTAATACAGGAACACACTTGTATACCATTTAATCAGATTCACCTATATACACTGTTAACATGCATCACATGCCTGTATTAAATAATATACACACATTTCTTTCCTGACTCAGTTGAGAGTAGATTTCATACATCATGGTTCTTTATTCCTAAGCATAGTGGGTTTTTACATAGCTGATTTTCAGTAGTCAATTTAGGTACATATAGTAATGATACAGTACTTTTATTTCACCTGTCATTAATATTTTAGTGTTGTTAATTGACCCCATAGTGTCCTCTTTGTAATACAGGACCCAACCTAGGGTCATGTATTCCATTTGGTTGTCAAGTCCCTTTAGTCTTCTATTATGAACATTCTTACAGCTCTTCTTTACTTTTATGACTAGAGCAGTGATCCTCAAATCCACCAGTTTTATACTAAGAGAATATTTGGCAGTGTATGAACATGTCACAACTGGGCATCTCCTACTGGTATTTAGAGGATTGAGGCCAGGCATGCTTGTTAAACACCATACGTGGCCAGGACAGCCTTTTATAATGAAGAATTAAGTGCTCAGGATGTCTTAGTACCAAGGTGGAGAAACCCTGGGCTAAATTATGTTCTTTGTAAATGACACTTTTATTTTTAGATAATTTAGTTTCACATGCAGTTGGAAGAAATAATACAGATAGATCTGAATGTGTCCTTTACTCAGTTTCACCTAAATGTTAACATTTTGCACAAACATTATATTGACATTGACAGCCAGTATGTGGAACATTTTCCATCAAAAAGAACCCTAAGTTGCCCTTTTATAGACACCCCATTTCCCTTGCCTATCTCCTGCTTTAATTTTTCATGAGACACTCGTTATTTCTTTGTTACTACAAAAATTACCAATAGCTGTAATAAGGTAATTTTATTTCTTGGCATCATTCCTGATTACCAGGAATATCATCTTACCAGTGAACTAAACTTGTCCTATAGGTAGAATGTTAGTTCTCTAGTGATTCCATGGGATACATACATATATATTTTAAAATTTAATAATGAAGCCACTCAATTAAAAAACTTACTAATTCTTTTAAGCTAGCTGTGTACTCCTTGGTCCATCTCCCTGACCCCCCGTATACTTGATTTTGTGTTTACTTTTCTTTTTAAAAAATTACATGAAAATTTCCCTAAATACTAACACATTTAATTTTGCTCATTTTTGAAATTTATGCATAGGAATTTATTGCATATAATTTGCTGTGACTTGCTTTCCCCTCTCACTTCTAAGATTTTATTCATGTTGTATTTAATTATACCTCATTAATTTTGCACTGATGTGTGAATTTCTTTTCTGTGAATATGCCAATCTTCGTTCAGTCAGCATTTGGGTTGTTTGCAGTTTTGGGTGTTGTGAAAAATGCTGCTTTGAATATGCTTGCACATGAGTCTCAGTGTACTAATCTTGAGCGGTACAGGAAGATATGCACTTGTTCAGTAAATTGTTTTCCAAAGCCGTTGTTCCAATTTACACACTCATGGACAGTGTCTAGTTCAGGCTGCTCCAAATTCTCACAACCCAAGAGCTATGAGCTTTCTTAATTTTTGCTAATCAAATACTTGGTTTCTGTGTATGGGTGGGAATGGTAGTATTAATCGTGGGGGTTGTAGTAGTATATTGCATTTTACATTTTGTAGTTTCTATAAAAAATAAAAAGCATTAAATTGAAAAGGTCATGTTATCTGAGAATTGCAGTTCATCTACTTAGTTGTCAGAGCGTCTATGTGGAGAACATCCCTTTTGAAGATACCAGAGATACATTAGATGTATGCTTATATGACTGAGGCTCTATAATTTTCCTGATTGTACCCTCCCTTCTCTACCTAGTTTCATAGTATAGTGAAAGAATTGGGGAATAACAAAATAAATAGTTTCAGCAAAGTGGTGGTAACATATATGAATCACTTTATTTGGTAAGAAAAGAAAGCTAATCTGTGTGTAGTTTTATTTACTTTGATAGCATGTTGCAAGTTATTCAAATAATTTATGGATAGTCAATGAATAAAGAAACTTTAGGAAGGAAGGAATCATGTGTGTAGCAAGTATTCATGTGTGTAGCAAGGTAGCAAGTATTCGACCCCTAGGGTAGACAGATTGTGCTTACTGTAAACTACAGCAAAAAAAAAAAAAAGTTTAAGTAGCTATATATGCTTTACACCCTACTTTGTTGAAATTTGCCAGCAAAACATTGATTATGAGAGGAAGCTGCTCAGCATATTAGCCAAGGGACACAAAGACTTGCAGTTGTTAGGACCAACAGAAATGGAACTTGGTAAATTCTTATATAGTGCATTTCAGATTTCAAGTTTCTGTTATTTAATTGCTAATAGTCTAACCTTTTGGGTCATTTTGCTTTTTGTTTAAATCTACACAGTATATTAGGGATGAATCAGATCTGGTAATCTTAACATTTAGATTATTCATAATACATGTACAAATAGGAGAAAAAGAAATCACCATAATTCATTATTTTTTAATCTTTTCTTTCTTTATCTTAGCAGTCCTATGAAGTAAAGGGAAAGAGCCTAGAAATATACTCCACGAAAAGTGAGGTTAAATTTAAATTCTTGAGATTTGCTGAGATAATGACTATTACTGAGTGATGTAGCAATTTAGCCTATTATTTGTTTTTTTTATTCATTTTTAAAAACCTTACCTTATCATTCCTCTTTTTTTGTACAATGCATGTTTTCTTCTCTCAGGGGTAGCCCCTGTAAAATTCTTACCACCAATTTACCCGGATACCATCACCATAGTCCCTTGTGTTCTAATTTAACTTTTTTAAACTTTTGTTCTAGATTTGCTAGGATACTTCTGCTGTGTCAATGAGGTAACTTATCCTTGACTAATTAGTTACATGTTTATTGGTGCTTATGGAGGAGTATAAAGAAGTCTAAAACATAGATTTTGTTCTTTGAGGAATAGACATTCTATTGAACACAAACAGTTGCAAACATCTAACAGAAGGAAGAAAGTGATTTGCAGCTAATAATAGTAGTTATATTAGCTGTTACATTTAGAAGTACTGAAGTGACTAGGAATAGGAGAGAAAGTTTCATGAAGAAATGGGATTGTCATTAAAGGATGGATAGATAAAAATTACATGGATATTATTTTAGGTTGGTTATAGTATATTATTTTTTCCTTTCTGATTTTTTCCTACTTTCTTCCCAGGCAGTCTTACCTTTACTAGACATAGAGAACATCTTAAAAGTGTTAAACACTGCAGTAAAGTAAAATGAGTAGCATGAGTGGAGTCAGAATTGCTAAAACAGTGTTGGGGAGAGAAAAAGTGGGAGAAATATTCTATTTAATATTAAGTCTTATATATATTTCATTGATCAATACAGTCTAGAATTGGCAGAGTAATACACAGATCAATGGAACAGAATAAAGAACCCTGAAATAGATTGCACAAATATGCCCAATTAATCTTTGGTAAAAGCAATCCAATCCAATGATAGTCTTTTTTTTTTTTTTTAAAGATTTATTCATTTATTCATACAGAACTGGGGTACAGGCCAGAGGCTCAGGGACGGTGAGAGGCTTCA